TTCCTGGTTTTCTGCTTGTTTTTGGACAGAGTCTTTGAGTTTAATATTCATCAAGTCCTAGAAATAAACAGAATTGAAGGAGTTAACTCAGACCCTTAGAAGAATATTGCTGTCCTGGGATACATCACTGAAAATGTGCCATATTAAAACAGAATAGAACAGCCCCAGAAGGAATAAAGTTTTCCTCTGTGGAGGAAATGGAATAATTGGATGTGGGCAAAGAAGTTGCAGCTATACCATTAGAACAAGAAAACCTCTGGTAATTTTACAACAGCTTAGAAATTCTTATTGTTTAATTCTGATTGTCAGTAAGGGCAAGAGAGTCTCAGAGGTATCCTCAAAAAAAAAAATCTCAAAGTTCCACAAGTGCTGCTAGTTCGAAAAAGTGCACAGTTCTAAATATCCATAGTGAGCACTTTGGCAACACTTGGGCTGCCTTTTCAAGCAGCCACGCTCTTTTACTTTCTAGCATGTTTGTAGTAAAACATACAAAGACAACGACTCTACTTCTGTAGAACCAAAGCACAACTGTTGTAGAACCAAAAACCTACAGAAAATAATAAAACTAGCTATTTTCTTTCAGAATGTCTTAAGAAATGACTCCACAATGCTTAGGCCAGTGAAATTCTTCAAGTAGCCACACAAGTCTGTGCAACTCCTTGAGGCAGGACGTGACCACATGGTCACAAGGTCCCTTCCCTAATAATTACTTGGTTTCTAGAGTTCTTGAAGAGTCAGCTAATCACGCTCACAAGGCTGTGACCAAGAAGGGAAGATGAACAGTCACACAATTATTCAAAAAGAAATTTACCAGTTCCTCTTAGCTATCAAATCATTTGACTAATGTTAATAATTGAATCAAAATCACTGCACTCAGTTAAGTGTGATATCCTTGGAAAGTCAAGGGGAAAAAAAAAAGCAACAAACTTACACAAAAGAACCTGATCAATTCCAGTAGAGTGTGCTGGTATTAAAGTTCTACTCCTTTGCAGGTATTCAAACTTCTTTTGTAACTAGCATTTATAGTTAAGAAGTGTGCTTTAACAGTTTTATTAAATAATCTTTTTTTGTATAAAGACTGCTGAACTAAGACCTGAAACCAAATCTTATGGAAAGAAAAAAAAAAATCTGTATTCACCTTAAAAACAGCTCATTTACACAAACATTTTCAAATTTCAGTGTGCATGTTTTTCTTTAGAACTCGACCTAAAGCTAACAAGAGTTGAGCAGAATTTATTCACTAAAATGAAAAATAAATGCCTGATTTTTTTCTCCATTACAGACAATAAGATCAGGTGGTCTGTTTTATAATTTTAAGTACATTGAAATCAGAAGCTCTTCTGAAAGGTTGCAGAATAGAACAAATAAGATAGAGAGCAGCCAAGCATAAGATATCTGTATTTTGAGAAAACAGAACTGCTCAGAAACACAAAACCCAGAGGCCGAAAACCCCATAATATTTCATCTTACTTGCATGTTTCCTGTCATTAACGCCCAATGAAGTGTCTTTACCTTGTTTCTAATTGTTTTATACTAGACTGCACTTGCTGCAAGCGTTTGTCAGACGCAGTTTCTCTTTGCTGGGCAGATAACATGTCTTCTTCCTAGAAGAATATATGTATTATCCAGACATCATCTAGCTTCCCTGAACAAAATAAATATATACTAACATAAAGCGAGTTAGAGAACACCTTGCGATTAATTTGTCAGCATTCAGATAGCTGACAGGCCGTTCAGTTACAACAGAACATGTTTCTTTTCTCCAGAATACCTTTCTCTCCAATTGGCCTTGAAGCTTCTCTGTCAATCTGGTCATTTCATGAACCTTCGCGTTTGCCGTCCGCCCATCTATTTTGGCCTGCCTGTATGCAGAAAACAGCCTGTCAATTACATTTCAATTATGACAGGGGAAAAAACCCGACTCCATTACCACTTAGCTGAAACAGAATAAATAATATTAACGCTGTGAAGGGCAGCCAGATTTCATAATTCTGTTCCTACAGGGTAGAAAAGGTTTCCCCCTTCTCCTTCGTACTATGTGGCAGTGAGACAGGAATACCAAATTCATTAAACGACTGTCCTGTGGAAATTACTGCTTAACAATAGCTTAACAAGAACTTGTATGTGTTAATTAAATGTTTGGGAGGAGTAGGCAATCAAAAACTTCAGGTGATTCTACAACTTAAATATAATTGGCCACACATGCTTAATAGAGATATCTTTTTCAGAATTAGATTTCAATTTTTAAAGCAATTTGACTAGGAATTAAAAAAAAATAAATCATTAACCACTTCTGAAGAATTTAACTGATATGCTTTGTCATCTGCAGAGAATTTGACAAGCTGAAACAGAAAAGGGGGAAAAAAAAAAAAAAGACTAGTTAATGAATCAGATTTCCTCCTCAGTAGAAAAGCTTAGAAATAAGCAACTCTCCTACTCCTCTGACTTGGGAACACAAAGACATACAGATTCCTTCACCTGGGGTGTAACCCAATTATTCAGGCTGTGTATTAGGCCAGATTTAAAGCCCAATGATTGAATGTACAATAAAAAAGATCAGACATATTAGATAAACCAATGCAAACTAGAACACTAATAGCTGTGAAAGAAGCTAGAAAATATTTAATACTGTTAAGAATAAACTTCAAGCAAAAACTCCTTATAGAAATATTAAGTTTGATTTAATGGCATAAGAGACGAGAATGTTATACCTATATGAAAATCTTATGCAAGATACACATAATCTCAACAACTGTACAGGAAATGCTTAATTTCACCTTAATGAGGAAAAACAATTGTGTCATCATTTCGTTAAAAAGCAAAAACAAAGATAAAAACATTATTCCCAGAGAGATTCCCTCTTCATTGCAGGTCCAGACCTTTCATCTTATTCCATCTGAATCTCCTACAAGAAGTACTGTTTGGTTTATGAGGACATTAAGTTGCTTCCTCAAAAACATTTTAAAATATTTAAAATGTGCTGTAAAAACAGAACAAAATAAAAACTCAAAACCCAGCATAAGAAGGGAAAAATACAAAAAAAATATAAAGAGCTTATAAAACTCAGAACAGCTTAAGTATTAAAAAATGCATTTTAATGGCAAAATTCAGATTCAGATCCAATTCCTAGGTGTGTGTTTAACAAGCAAGAAATTGATTCTAAAGATGCAGCTTTTATTCTTCACTGTGCAACGTATTTTTAATGTAATCTTAGCAAGTTATCTCTGTTTAAAATCTTTTAGATTCTAAAATGCAGATACCCGCCCTAGTAATGCCAAGTTTCCGTCCTAGCAATGCCAACAGAGCTTCGAAGCACTAATAAATGTTTTAATAAAGATTCTAGCATACAAATAAGTGGAATCTGTTCAAACCTCAACAGAAATACATCAACTATTACATTGTCTCTATCCATGGCAGATTCTGACCCTTTAACAGCTAGCGTAATAGTATGTAAACAGTATATAAATAGTACGGTGTAACTGTACATTTAATATTTTGTTTATATTAACACTGATGAAAAGCAATGACTCTGTTCTCAAACACTTCTTAGGGAGTTTTTTTCCAAATTTCATTTTTTTTATTTTAGGTAAGGTCAGCTTCTGATCTAAATAATAAAAACTATTTTCATCCTGAAAGTAACTTCCAGCTGAACTCTTAATTTTGTCTTCCTTTTCCCAGATTACTTGCCAAATCTTAATCTGGCAGTTTCCCTTTAGGTACAACATACTGGAAATACAGGATGACAATAGGTCAGGAACATGTTTAAAGTGTTTTATGGCTACACATGTCAGATTGTATACTTTGCCATATATTAATCTTAAAATATGTAAAATTCAGCAACACATGCTTATAAGCTTACCAATATCAAAAGCTCCAAAATTACACTCAATTTAGGCCATACAAACCTAAATTCTCCTATATGAGTTGGGCTTTTTTTAAATCTACTTTTCCTCTCCAGACTTTTTACTCTACCACCATAAATCAGTGTAAATCTATTAAAAAAAGCCAAAAGGATTAGAATTGTCTGCAACATATGCTGTATAATCCATGCAAACTATGTCTGTATAACTTCATGTTAGAGAAAAAACTGGTGAAAATATTCCAGACTTCTTTGAGAATCACTACAGCACTTACTTCAGAGCTATACAGAACTGCTGTCATTAGTTTTGTGAGTATAACATAGTACTGTTTCTAGGGTTGCAAGAACTTTTAGTGATCCAAGAGGATCGTGAGCATAATCAGTGCCCATGATTAGAAATGCAAAATTCCTCTGAAAGCCTCTTTGCCCAAAACTGAGAATGCTACGAGGAGAGCAACAATGACAATGTTTGCTCATGATCATCGCCAGCCAGATTAAATTGATACAAAGATTTCAGAGAAAACAACAGCTTGAAAGGGAACATGAAAACTTGTGATTGTGAGTGACAGACCTTAGAGTGACAGCCCAGCAGTGACACTGTGTTTGATCCCACAGGAGTCACTCCATGGGCATTGCCACCTTTTCCCAAGCCTGCGAGCAGCTGCCCCACCAGACCACAGGAGCAGCCTGCGCCCAGCTGCACCAGGATGAAATAGATGGGGACCACCATATCAGGTGTGTGTATGGGAACTCCTGGGGTGCTTTCTCAGCAGGGCACAGCTAGCAGGCTTCAGGAAGCAGCACAAGTACACATAAAGCTGGAGCACCCACACTTCCAAGAGGAGGGGTTTGCAGATGGGGGAATCCATATTTTCCAAAAAGGGAGTATCTGTGCACATGCTTTAAGCCATGCTTCCTGTGAGAGAGGGTGTGTGTACCTATATCAGAGCAAGCAAGAAAGAGCATGTGAGATCAGTTCTTCATGGGATCAATTGCAGAAGGCTGTTTATAGATGGGTGTTTGTTTATTAAAATATTGCAAATGTCTAGCATCATGGTTTACCTGTTATACTATTAATATTGATCATTAATCTCCACTGATTGCTCGCTTATTCCTTAATGGCATGCAGTTAACTGCTTTGATTGACTTAAGCCACTTGTGTTGAGCAGTCTTGCCCAGCTAGAACATACTAAACCAGAAGTCTAGTGTTGTGAGCTGAGAAGGAAGATGACTACTCCAGCCCTGTGGATACTTACATGTAAGTCAATTCACTCACAATTTCACTATTAGTAAAACAGCAACTCAAAGATACACGTATATATTGGGGCACGTGTGAGTAAAAGTTCAGAGCAAGATGATCCACTAGCTTTCAGTCAGTCCCAAGGAATTCTACCTTTTAATATTCCTTCTTCCTGAAGGAGCAGTTTAAGAAGAAAACAGGCACTTCCCTTCTACCGTCCCTGCTGTTGCTGTACAGACGGTTACACAGATCCTTGTGTGTATGCATGGCTATGAATCACAGAGCGTGGCCCTTTGGGTTGTCATGCCCTATTCTAAATTATTTGATCCAAGCGGTATCATTAAAGAATTTCACATAACTCCAAGGATCAAGCCTAAAAAGGAGTTTCCTTTTAAAAATGAAATAAAGATGAGACCAAAGGAAATTATGACATCTGTAATTTTGACAAAACCACTCAGCTGGCTGCTCAGCCACTACCTGAATGATTTTAAAGTTTGGGTGGTTTTTTTTGTGGTTGTTTGTTTGTTTAGGTTTGTTTGTTTAGTGTTTTTTTTTAGGCTTTGGTGTGTAGGTTTTTTTGTGTTTTGTTTTTTTTTTTTTACAAAACCATTGAGAGTGTTAGAAGTGCAGTAACAAACTGAACTTTGACAGCATCTATTGAATGTCTAAAATAGGTTCAGTTAGCACTAACTACTTTCATACCCACTTATTACATGAGACAATGTAAGCATGTCAATGCAAGACCAAGGATTTACAGATGAATGAGATACCAAAACAGTAATTCAATACTAATACCCTCTGCAAGGAAAGAAATTCCAAAGAAAATATGAAACCATTCTTTCCAAGAACACAACAGTAGCATGAACAAGGAAATTGCAAGTGATGACTGAGTTTGGAAATAGTTCATTTTACCAAATACCCTGAATACCACATTAATCTTTGATTGCTTGTCACAACATTTTCCTTCTCCAAACCAAACTATTTTTGCAAATACTTTTTCCATGGAAAACTTGGCTAACTAAAATGAGAGGTGCTAACAAGTTCCCCCTCAAAAGCACACCTTCAGTGATTAAGTTAAATTGGCATTTGTAAGCAGGTTCTGGTCCTAAATTTATTATACAAAGGAAATGTCAAAATAAACATTGTTTAAAACAAATAAAATTTTCCTAGTAAGTAAACCATAATGTACCAAGCAGGAGGTTTATTACTAGAAACAGCTCATTTTTATTGTTCTAACAGTGAGAAAGTTTGGATACAACCAATCTTGAAAAAAAGACCAGTTTTTAAATTGGTTAATAAATATTCAACGATGACCAATATCGAACATCAATGAATCTGTTCACTCTAAACCCGTGTCTTGCACTGTGGGTATTGGGACATAGAGAATTCAATATCTACAAATGGTACAACGACACTCATTGAACAGATGCTGCAATTTGCGTAACACCCAATCTTTACAGTGATAAGCATTAAGCATTGCAACACATACCAATTGCTCTTCATGTAATATTTTACATGGGTTTGGAAGAGAGAAGGAATGTCTGATGCAGCCATTCTTTTTTGGAGGGATAAAATCAGTATCAGCAGACGTTCAGTCAACTTAGGTTTCTGTATACCTGCATCTCCTGCAAAAGCTGCTTACAAAACTGAGTGCATCAACACATGTGGATGTACAAACACACAGAGCCATCTTTAACCATTTACATAAAAATGGATATTATTTTTACCATTTCTGGGGTGATGTTCTACAAAAATTAAAAGATACAACTAACTAAAACATGATAGCGGTTCAACCAAATTAAGTAGTTTAATCACAGCATCAAAGGAAATCGCAGTAACTAAAAGCAAAGGAAAATTCAATAATTAATTCAAAATTTAAGTAATTACAAATTTTAGGCTTAAAAACTTAAAAGTTTGTTTTAAAAAGCTTATTTAAAGCTTTAGGTAATGCTATACAAAAAATTATCAGTGGTTGATAATAAATCCAATTCCTTTCTATTGTCAGTCCACAAACCTTCCTGAAATTAAATTTTGACATCAGTCATCACCAATTAAAAGAGTTAACAGACAGTAAACTGGTGTTGAACAGACTTTGGCTGTAAATACAAATAATCACGAAATTATGTTGCAAGTATTTTTCTCATTTTCCTTGATATACTTCAAGATTATAATTAACGTTTCTCGTACCTCCAACTTCCAAAAAGCCTATGGCTTTGAGCTCTTTATGGAGAAACACTGAATGGAAATCTTACTCAAAATATTAAAACTTCAAAGTGCTTTGAACATTCAAATTTCAGAACTGGAATGAGTAATTATGTAACTGGATTTTGAGCAAACTGTATTCTAAAGAAAACCTGTCTATCTTCAGAGTCAATTTTGCTGTGATACTGACACTGTGTTCAATTTAAATCAAAGGTCAAACCTCGAGTATTTCAGGCAACAGCTGAACCCAACACACCAAGTGGAAATACGCTATCCTAACACAAGGGTATGCTGCACATTTGGTACCAACTTAAGAGGCACTAACTGAAACCATTTCAACCATCACTGTCAAGTCAGTTTGCAGTACGGACAGGCCCATGACACAGCAACAGGTTAGAAAGAACTATAGAAAAGGTATTTTGTAATTTTTAAAATTGTCTGGTTTTTACCTCAGTTGTTTTCGAAGCTGCTCTAGTTCCGCTTTCTGTTCTGTTACAGTTTGCAGAAACTGTTGGTTGCTCTGCAAAATAAGGAGATATTTGTAACGTTCCTTATTGTATTGAAAATGTTATATATCAGAATTGTTGTAGGGCATTTCTACAGAATATAATACCATAAAAAACAGCCAATAAACTGCGACTGGTCTCCAAGTGCCAAGCTTTAGGCAGAGTATTTTAGAAAGACAAATGCAGAATGATGTTACCTAATCCTCCCCTTCTTTCTCCATATTTTGGCTATGCAAAAACTTCCCAAGATAAGAATTGTAATAGCAAGGACCTACCATCTGCATTTTCATCTCCTTTCAATGTCCAAAATACCTTGTCACAATGAGTATCACAGTAGACCACATACTGCTGGAAAGAAGTCCTTTGTTCTAGAGACAAGAAACTATGAGCAATTGCTCCTCCTTCGTTTTTTTTCCTATGCCAGCCATAGTGCTGGAGGTGTCATTCTCCTTCAACTGTCTTCTCATGTGAGAATCATTTCATGTTTTTGTTACCCTACTAGCCTTTTCTAGACCTTACATATACGTAAATATACACTGAGATATTAGAGATGACCACAACTGCACACAGCATTCAAGATGCTACTCTACGGTGGACTTAAGCACAAGAGATTTCTTTCCCCTCTCCTCTCGTAATAATTGCTAGCATTCTTCTTGCTTTTTCGACTGTTGCTAAGAACTGTTATCAGACCCTTCCTACTTATAAAATACCTATTATGAGTAATAGCAGTTAATTTCAAGACCCTCACAGAGTACCCAAGGTGAAAGCTCCCTCTTGCCCTCATGCGTTATTTTTGCTTTTATTAATACCAATGAAATATCAGGTAAAATTCACTCAGATACTCCGCATCGCAAGATCTTTCTGCAGTTTACTTCATCTTTCACTACCTTAAATAGTTTAACATCAGTAGTGAACACTGTTGCCTCAATAACAAATCTGATTTCTAAAACATTTATAAATATGCTGAACAACTCTAACCTGAGCACATCTAGGAAACAGATGGTTTACCACAATAAAAGACCTGACAAATGACTGTCTCTTCACTTCCTATTTTTCAGTTTGTTAGTTCAAGAAAGGGTTGCTTTACGCCTTTGGCAACAGACCTTGCCAAATATTTTTGGTTACTGCGAACAAATGGATTACCTTTATCTTAACATTATCTATTCCATCTCTTTCAAAGAGTTCACATATTTCACTCTCTCCTCTCCAAATGATCTCTTCCCATTTTTATGATTTTAAGCGCTCAGTGATTTCGTTTTTTTTGAGGTATCTACTGCTTATCTGCTTGTAACAGCATATCAAATAGTCTGTAACTTCCAAATCCTCAGCAAAACTGCTTTAAAAGCTCATCATTGTAGTTGCTTGAGATTGTTTTTAGACAGCAACCCCCTAGTAACTCTGAAATATCTATCTGTAGAGAATAGTTAATTTTGAGACCATCACTGTCTACATAAGGCAACAGTTCCTCTGAGTGCATTATTTTGCTTGTATCAATACTAACAAAATAGCTTGTAAACAGGCTAACCGCTTGCAAGATACAATTCTGTAGTAATATGCAATATACTACTCAATGTTGGTAAGGGCTTGACTGAAGTATTGTACTGTTTCCAGCACCACAGTTCAAGAATGATGGCACAACTAGAAGGAATTTGAAGGTGAGCAGAAAGAATGATTAGACATCTTAAAAACATTGTCAAAGAATATCTAAAGACTTGACTTGCTTTGAACAGCATAGAAAAAGCAGGGAAAGGGAAAAGATGGCTATATAAAAGTTTTCAATAACAGAAGCACCATGACAATGAATGTAGTAATTTTTCCTTCATACCTACAATACTCAACACCAAAAAAACAGGCTTCTGTTTTAACAAGAGGTCAGTTGTGAAAAAAGGTTCCAGTGATAAAGACAGAAGAGAGTAGACTGTCTCGAGTAGGAGTCTCTTTGCATTGCCAGTATCCAAGATAAACATTAATCAAAAATCACACAGGAATTATGTCTTTCAGAGAAGTTGCTCAGCCAGAAACTTCACCAAGTCTTTCACCTCGATTTTTCTCCGATATTAAAATTGTGAGTCAATCCTGGAAGTCCTAAGCTAAAACTTAGAGACTACGAAGTCCCACAATCTAAGGATATGGATGAAGCACAAGAAGATGATTAGAGCTCAGAAAAATCTCCAAAAAGGTCAACAACAAAGACTGAAGCCAGCAGTGCCGAACTAGGAATTGGTAAACGTGCAGCAGAACTAGCCTATATAAGAGGTCATCATTTAAATAATTTTTTCCTTTGTGAAGATGGTTTTGAATGTGTTACTGAAGCACATTCACCACATAGTAAAATTCTGAGTCTAAACTTACCACTGACTTCTTTAAGAAAGAGCTCGCATAATCTTAAGGACTCATCTCTCAAAAACCCTCACCTGGTGTTTGGAGTTCTTGAAAAAAGCCATGACTACTTGATTTTTGACTGGTCCCTAGAGAAGTTTGCAAATCTGAGTGGCACAATTTCTCTTTCAATCAGGTATGTATGAAGGATTTTTTTGCTTTTCTTTTATACTTTGAGGCCCTAGTAGGAAAAAAAATAATTTCCTAGGTCACTGCTCAGAATGTTTTACTTACCAACTCTATTTTCTCATTGGTTCTATGCAGTTGCCGAGTCAACTGTTGAAAGCCAGTCAGTTGATCCTAAAAAGAGAATTCAAAGCTTCTTGTAATCATTATCATCATAAAGAGTGTATAATTAGAGAGTTTCATCGTCAACTGAAAATATTTTCCGTAAAATCTACACATGCTGCAGGAAATGCAACATGGCTTTGTAGATTTTAATTAGATTGCTTTTAGCTGTTGATCTAGTAGTCTGGAAAATTAGATTTACTACTGAAAAAGGTTCTGAATTTTACTCAGTCACAACTTGCCTCATTCCAAAACTCATATGCACTCACTATCAAACTATGAAAGCATACATGAGTAGTGCCTTTAAAGAGCTATAGAGGCTATGATGCTACTATCAGCATTTTTGCTCAATGCAGTAGCAGACATGTACCCCTTAATTAAAAAAGGCCTGTATGGACACGCTTAATTTGCTCTTTGCCATACAGGATGTTTTGTGTCCATACAAAATACTGTTAGATTGAAATTTTGAGTCCCTGAACGTGAACTCTGTCATCCTAGGAAAACTAGCATAACACAGAAAAATCATCTGCAGCACGCCAAGTGTCTTCAGAACATAGAGAAGACTCAAATCCCTGAGCTGGAATATCTACTAATTGTGCTGTGTTTATCTAACAGCCTCAAGGCCAAGTATATGCAAGAAACCTATTCCAACAACTCCCTCATTTACTACACCCAACCCTTAAAACAATATCCTCTCTCATCTTTGCTTTCTGTCAATTTAAGTTCTAGTTGGTGTTACCTATTTCTGTTTACCTCTGATAGCTATTTTCTACTCCTCCATTAAAAGCAAAACCTAACATAAAAAAAACTTAACTGAAAAGCCATTTTCTGTGGGAGACTGGCAGCATTTAACAAAAGGCAGCTCAACCTCATTCTTGTTACAATGGCATTAAAATCCACCAACAATTTAGCTACCAACCAAAAGTGGAATCTGACAGCCCTAAACACTCCCAACAGCTACCAGTGACTCTGTATGCTCTACTAGGTGTTTGTTACCAGTAACTGACAACACAACACGAGAAATAATGTCATATAAGGAACAGAGGCAAAAAGTTGAAACTACATGTAGATATGAGAGTTCTCATAACTATTACTTGAAATAATTACGAAACTTGATGTAGCACAACAGCTGTACAGATATTTTTCTGTAAGCAAAACAGCTTTTCTGAACTAAGATTTCCTGAAAGGCCTTCCCCAGAAACAGGAGAAGACAAACAGGCTGCTAAACACAAGCTAGCATTAGAAGAACACTGCTGAACTTGATTTTTTGTCTGTTTACACATGCTTCTTTACTGAATGACAATAGGAAATGAAGAGTACTTTTCCCACTGTCCCACTGTGAACTTGCAGACAAAAATCGCGATTCAAATACAGGAAAAACATGAAAGACTTCCACCTTAGAATTCAGAAATCTTTAGCAGGTTTTTCAAATGTTGAACTCTACTGAAGATTTCCCACCATGCAATTCAAACATGATTATTTATATGCACATGCATATCTTGCGCACATATATATGTGCCCTCAGACTCAAACTCAGTGCATTCCTCAAGTTCCGGCCCAGATATTTAAAATAAAGAACTTTTCCAATCGTAATGGTGCATTTAGTTGATGAATCAGTGACCACATCTGATCAGTCAACTTTAGATGACTACTGTGGAAAATAATTAACAGTACTGGCAGAACCCCCCCACTTCAGTTAGACTACACACACAGACCCAGAATCTCTACAGTATAGAAAGACACTCCAAAAGTAACAAAAATAGAAATTAAAATTACTTTATGCTTTTGCCTTTCAGCCACGTGAATCTGCGTTTCAGTCATGCGTTCCTGGTACTGCTGCTTGAGTCGATCGTGCTCCTGTAATACGGTCTGATAGAGCTCCATTGCTTGTTCTTTTTCCTAAGTTACACATCAGTGGTTTGAATAGAATATTCTATTACAGCACATGTACCTTCATCTGTCATTCTCTGGAAAGAGAGGTCTTAACTTCTATTTTGCAGAAATGCCATTTTCTGTGCTCTTCTCTGTATACATTACCACTTCACAGACAAATTACCAAATTCAGATGCAGAAAAAAAAATGCTTAGAAGTTCAAATTCCACCTAAAAATGAACTGCAAGTTTTCCAGATTTTTTTACAGCTCAAACTTTTACAGGTATTTATTGTAGGCTTACAGTATATATAATATTCAAATACCAAATTCAGTTGTTAATTCAACTTTAACTTAATCATATGCAACAGGATTGATACATCATTGTAATAAGTTCAAAGTTTGCTTATCTTTTCAGATTTAAATATTATTTTCCATATCCCACACATACTCGCCACCTCGTATCACATTACAATGTTTTTGATTAAAATGACAAGTTACTACAAAAACTCAAATTAAACAAAGTATTTCATTAATTTCCTTGACAGGAATTCAATAAAGATCAAGTCAACTAGGTGAAATGACAGGCACAAATTACTATTAAGAAGTTCTTAAACGAATCTGAGAAAGAAGTTCCTTCAGGTCATTAAGTTGAAAGTGTAAGTACTTGCTTTTTCAGTTACAGAAAGTCAAGAAGGCCTCAAAACACTCTCAAGGAACTCTGAACAAATGAATTCTGAACCAAGAAATAAAACAGCATCTCCTAATCTGCCAAGGTACAACAAGGTACAAGAGAAATAAAAGAGCACAAATGTTTCATCTCACGCACTTGGTGCATCACTTGTAGTTGCTCTTGAAGGTCTCTCACTATGCCTTCATCTGCAGGAATATCAGTTCCCAGAGGCATGAAAGGAAGACCCTCTAGTTGCTTCTCAAGAGCCTCTTTCAACTCTGTGTGCAGCCTGAAATTCAAAGCGCTAAGGTCAGCAAAGTGTTTCTTTAACAGGCATGGTTTTTTAAACAACTGAAGTGTGTACCACACTTTCAATCTGTACATACTATTTACTTCTAAGTCATATTTGAATCTATTAAGTTATGTTCTATAAACATGAGAGACAGTTTGAAATAGTTCAGTATTGAGTTGTTCTAGAGATATGGTTGTATCTCCTAAACCTGGTGCTGTAATCTATAGTAAGCACTTAAAGACTCTAACATTAAGCTCGTGAGTATGACATCTTCAACTATTAAGTAGATAAAAAGATTTCAAGGTCCTAAAAAAAGATTTTTAAGATTTAGAAATCAATAAAACCAGCAGTACTAATAGGGCAGTGCAATTATTTACCTTTCATTTTCCTTGGTGACTTCTTCAAGTTTTAGTCTCATCTCGCTCATTTGTGCCTAACACAAACACATGCAAGAGTAAGCACTAGTTTAATTAAAACAAACCTTGGTAATTCTTTCATCTTCTAATTCTGACTGGTATTGTAAAAGGAGGAAAATTTAATTCAGCATAATCCAGGAAATGAAAGTCGCTTTCTTTTTATAGGAAAGTCACAGGATGCCACTTGAATTCAACAGCTGCTCAAACTTACCTTTTGGAATTCTTAGAGCTCTCTCAGACTGATTCTTAATTAACTCAAGTTCTTTTAAGTATACAGTGGATAACTCCCATCTTTTATGCAGTAAGCATTTGAAAAAGGAGTTTAGGACTTAACCGAGGAGAAACTTCAGTTACACAAGTCAAGCGGACTGTTTCGTTAATGAAATAGTGCAACAAAACCATAGTGCTTCTATTGCCTTCTGAAATCAACCAAGCCTGAAGACTGTATTTGGAGAATCTTTGTGATGGACAGATGAAACAAATTAAGTGCATTAAACCAAAACTTCTGCATGTAGATCTCAAGGAAAAACTGCTTTCGGTATGCCACAGGTTTTAATTATTAAACATATCACTTTTGCATTAAAAAGCTTCATTTTTCTGCGGTTGAAAGGAGCACAGTCCCCCTCCACCTCAGCCTCTAAGACAATAAACATTTAAAGGATTATTTAAATCTGAAGAATTATTACGAATAGAGAAGGCTGGGTGTATCTACACTTGCAGGACTGAGCTGGATGGCATGGCCAAGATCAGACCTGTAAGGAAAGAGGGAAACAGCTGCTTCATCTGAATGTCACCTAGGAAAATACCTGCAACCCTATCCGAACATCTAGAGAAATAAACTCCAGGTTTCATTTCACAACACTACTTCTCCAAACGCACAGTGAACTGTGCAATTTGGACATCTCCCAACCTTTTCATAGCAAGCTCCCCGTTCATTCGAGGCAGACTGCAGTCCGGCAAGTTTGTGCAGCGTAGCGCAGGCATACTTTCCTTTAGTGACAAAACCCTAATGGCCTAGATATTAATACTGTAAAATCCTAAGAATGTACAGTCTGAAATGTTAGGAACATCCATACCTGATAAAACTGCTGCTGTTCTCTCATTTCTTCTAAGCATTTATCATACTCTGTGATTAGAGTTGACAAGCTAAAAAGTTGAAAAATATGCTTAGAATTAATCTGTAAATGCTGAAACACTCTTCTGATAATTAACTACTTTTAAAGAATTCTTAATCTAGAGAACAGAACAAAACAGTCACTTAATTTCCAGGCTTGAAATTCACCTGAATCAAATGAACAAATTTAATTACTACTTTTAAAGCGTAATCATTAACAGCAGATTTCCTGCATAACATAACTAGGTCATAGGACAGTATAAACAAGCACTAGTACAACAGTAATATTTCGTACATAGAATACCAAATGATTAAAGACTAGACTTTGTAACTGCTTTCACATACAACAGTAACGTGGCCTATAAGGCAATGTAAAATAATGTAGTTCTACCTATATACTTTTTCCCGCCTAGTATTTTTGTAACTGATAGTAATACTCTGAAAATTCTATATTAGTCTAGAGTGATAATGCCTTATGAGCTAATGAGAAAGGATGGGTTATTTTTATAACAAGAAATTACAATGATTACTGAACAGTTTACTAACAGGCAACTGTTAGTTGAAGATTGTTAAATCAGCATCTTTAAAAACATCCGCTTGACCTCAAGAGACAGCAATTACCTGTGCTACCTACATCAGTACCATCTTACCTGCACTTCTGTTTATTATCTTAAAATTCAGACAACAGAATTCCTTCCTTTATCTCTCACCCTTTATTTTACAGATTGTGGAAGAAAAGTTATTATTTAATTTAATGTATAAACAGAATAGTATCTAAAACAAACTATGGGAACACTTTTGCAGATGTCCCTTCACAAGTTCAGAGCTGTGAACAGGTGTACCAGGTTCACCTGGGTATTTACACTTTTAAAAGCATACGTCAATTTCTTTAGAATATTTTGTAGTATTCCCACCTGTCACTTGGAATCAGTTACCTTTGGTCCATCGTCCTGGATCCTGATATGCCATCACCACCGGGGGCACTTGTCTGTAATGGTATACTTTACATATTAGTACGTGCACATGAGTGCATGTAGTTTTAATTTTTTTACATGCAACCCAAAGCTGTTGTTCTGTCCGGACAGTAATAGCACACAATATCGCATATGATCACTTCCAGGTTTATGTTCAAAAATCCCTGAGTGCTGGCCCAATTTGAAAAGATGATCTTTTTTTTTTTTTCCCTTGGAGATGCTCTGATATGAAGCACAACTGCATCTGAGAGGGAATCATCTTGCTCTTAAAAGAACAATCAAGTTTGTGTAAGTGCTTATTTCACTCCCATGCATCTCAACATCAGGAAAGTGTTGATGCCTTGTCTTCTGCACAGACTTTCAGACAGGCTCATGGTATCCAGCACAAAAAGTTATCTCAACATGGGACAAATCTCTCAGAAAAGAGAATTCTAAAAAAGTGAAAAAGTTTACTAAGTAGAAATCAAGTATTCTTTCAGGCATTTGTACTTCTGCATATGACAAAATTTTGAAAAAGCACCAAAAATACAAGAATTCACTGTTTGTTATGACAGTTTTATTCTGCTGTTGCTGCATGGAAAAACAACAAGCAACTCTAGAGCTGTGTGATGAACGGACCCAAAGCAGGCCACATTGACGTGGGCTGTGCTCTATGTATGCAAAGATATTTGTCACAAAACCTCATCACAAAAATTCATATTACTTCCATCCCCAAGTTCACATACCTGTTCAGCAGTACCTCTCAAAACCTCATCTGTTTCACACTGTCCAAGTGCCATATTTAGCCTCTGACCTGAAAAATACAAAGTTTGAGAGTCTCAGCTGCAGCATGGGCCATTATCTACCTAAACCTGACTGGCAGTCAGAAATACATTTAACAGTGTAGTGCTCTGAAGGCATACAGTGTGCTTCATCAAATTCTTCTACTTAGCACAACTATTTGAATGAAAATAGGACCTGAAAAAGCCTACAAAGACTGTAATAATAATGAACTCAATTTCTTTCATATTCCTTCTGTTTTCTTACAGTAATTTTAAAAAAGGAACTTTCTGCCTAGAAAACCCACACGTTCACATCTTAATGATTCCCGAGGTCTAAGTACAACAAATCACATTGTGTGTCCAATTCGATCAGCTGGATGTTTGACAATTAACTTGTTTTTTGGGAACTCATCCCTGCAGTTCTCAATAAACTTGCAACAAACTTCGGTCAAGGGAGCTTCACTGATAAACAGATCTGACTCAAGTATATCCAGAAGAAATCCAGACAAGAATAAAGACATGCAGTCTGTCAGTATCTATTATTTCTGAAAGAAGCAAAGCAATGAGTATTGAGATCTCACACCGCTGAGCTGGGAACATGAACTAAGGCATCACTCTTCCTTATTCTTTTAACTTTGGCTATTGAGACTTCAGAGACTACTTGGACTACAAATTAAAGACCCAGCAGAAGGCTGGAAGGAAGAAGTAACCCCTTTGCACTCGTTCATGTTCTTTGATCTAACAAAAACACAGTATAACCAGCTGGTCAAAAGAGGCGATTATCCTGCTGCATTCAGCCTTGGTGCGACCTCACCTCAGGTACTGTGTGCTTGTTTAAGAAGGATGTGAATGTCCTTGAATGCGTCCAGAGGAGGCCAACAAAGCTGGCAAAAGGGCTGGAAGGAATGTCCTAAGAGGAGCAGCTGAGGACTTTGGACTTGTCTGGTTTGGAGAACAGGAGGCTGAGGGGCGACCTCATTGCTCTCCACAGCTTCCTGAGGAGGGGAAGTGGAGAGGGAGATGCTGAGCTCTTCTCCCAGGTATCCAGTGACAGGACACGTGGGAAGGATTCAAAGCTGCACCAGAGGAAGTTTAGACTGGACATTAGGAAGCACTTGACTGAGGGGGTGGTCAAACACTGGAACGGGCTTCCTAGACAGGCAGTCCATGCCCCGAGCCTGTCAGTGTTTAAGAGGCATTTGGACCATGCCCTTGATACCATGCTTTAACTTCTGGTTAGCCCTGAACTGGTCAGGCAGTTGCACTGTATGATCATTGTGGGTCCCTTCCAAATGAAACATTCTATTCCATTTTATCAAATCTGAGTGACACCTTTGTAACTGGAATGGGTAAAGAAGAAGAAAAAGGAAGTCAGGAAGGTAATGCATACATTTCAATTTAAAACAACTTCTTGCCTATTTTTCTTGATACACATCCCATGGTTCTTTTTCTGGTTCTAATCTTTTAAAGGAGGATATAGTGAAAAGACAGAGGGGACAGAAAGGAACTAATAGTAAAAGGATGCCAAGGAACAGGAAGGGGAAATTAGCTGCCCTCACCAGCCCAAGCAGTCTGCAAACATGAGAGGCCACAGGTGCAAAAGGGAACAAATCTTAAACACCTCTTACAGGTGTGCTTACCTTCAACAGTGAATCATTACATACATTGATTAAAGTTCTACGTGTTTAGTACCTTATCACAAAAACAGGTAATGGAATAGATTAATTATTATTTGTAGGGTTGGCTGCTGGTACTGTAAAAAGCATGCAGGTGAAACTCAATTGGAAACTGATCAGGGCCAGAGACTGCCATTTCATTCTGACAACCTTCCTTACAGATACATATTTAACACAACAAATAGTCTATAAAGCCAAATATACTTGTGCTTAGAGAATCTCTTTTCATGTCTATTACACACATTCAGCATTTTAGAACTTTGATTCCACATCGATGAAACAAGAGAAAACATCAATCCATGCATCAGACCTAGAATAGGCCTCAAATAACTTATGCCTCACTCGGCATACAAGCCAGCTTCAAATTGGTCATTTGGCACCTTAAAAAACTTATTAAGTTTATTTTTTAAAGAGAGAGTTAAACTTGATGGAAAACACAATTCTTACTGCTTCACAGTGAATTTAGTCTGAGCTCTATTTAGAGCCTGAAGATTTATAAAATAAGCAGCTACACACAGTCGAAATAAATACATATAAAAAAGCCATTACTTGTTTGCATCACAGTATAATAATCACTTAGAGCTTGATAAAGATACAGGCTTTTGAGCTGGGGTGACTCTGTTGGCTCAGACTTATGTCTGAGGAATCAAGAGTTGGTCCTTCCCTTTTTGGCCATCCAAAAATGTCATACAAAGTTTAGTATCAACTGAAATTTTGATTTTTGAGTGATGCACAGCCATTGCACTTTATGCACTGTGATCTTGTCCTACTTCCTGCCAGGGTATCAAATCTTCCCACAACATTAATCAGCAACATTCTTGGGACAATGCATCAACCCATTCCCTATTTACAGGAACATAAACTGCAGAGGCAAGTTTAGCCAGTATTTTGCTAGTATGCAATTAAAGTGCACTCTGATTCCGTCATAGTAAGCTTCCATTAAAATCATCACAATTGTAACAACGCATAATTCAAAATATTTATTTTAGTCTGTAAAGCAAATTCTATGAGCAACTGGCAAGACAATTTTTTGCCTTTCAGGTGTAAACCAAGCATAAGAAACGCAGTAGTTTCTTAACTAGAGGAAAGAGGCACTACAAGAAAAAACGCGCATGTTTTTTGGCTGTTACCCCCATTAGCCGCTTTTAATTATTAGTCTCGAGCTCACTAAAAAAATTCTTTTTATGCTATTCACTACAGCAAACACCAGAAGAGCTACAGAAAAAAAATCTTTATTACCACAGCCATAGACAAAAGGGTGTCTACCCCCTGTAGAACCTCACCCGGCTCCCGAGGGGCAGCGCCCGGGGCCTCGGCTCCTCCGAGCAGCGCGGGGCCGCCCCGGGG